ATCCTTTATGTCTGGAAGTAAATGTTTCTGAAATACTATAGCTACCGTCAGAGCAGCAACACGTAATAACATGGTAGCAACACATAAAACTGTCAGTCTTCGGGGAAAATAGATGGTTAGGCTGAGGGGGTAAATGGACTAAATCAATTTGAACACGCATGTTAAGGACTGTGAAAGGGCAGAGTTTAGTGCTGCGAGGCTGGAAAACATTTGTCTCTGTCTTCTTGTATTTCCACAGCACTGGGCAGAATCCACCCACAGGCTTCTCACTTGGCTCCAGTCTGACTCTGTGGCTGATTAATGGCAGCTGGAGGTGTCCAGTAATTTCCTCACCTAATAATAAGCTACAAACCAAAATGGAGGTTCCCCTCGGGCCCACAGTTAACATACCTATACTTACGACCAGGAGGTAGCCAATTACCCTGCCTCTGTGCCCACTACTTAAGAAATACATGCTTGAGCAAGGCTAGGACCATTCTGTTTACCAGGGACCCAGCTTCTGCCGATAACCATACGGACTGCTCTTGTTACATTATAAATACATACTCCTTTCATTTAGAGAAGGATACACTTACGAAAATCTTCTAGCATTTCCACAAGATACATTTTTAAATAATTTTTCCTCCAAAAAAATGTGGCAGAAAAAATTCAGATGGTGCACTTGGACTAGAGCCTTTTGGGACCTAAAATATCAAATGGCCATTACCAAAATGCCGGGTTGTAATTGCAAAGCCTGAAGCCTAAGCAATCAGTCTAATTCCCTGCTTCCTGAGGCAACCAATAAAGCTTTTTGTGTTCGGACAGCTCTTCCCCTCAGAGGCAATGAGAATCAGTCCATGCCACATACTATACAGTGATTATGTGGATTAACTTTGTGATGTTAATTGAGTGGTTAGCCTCAACATTTATACTTATAGTAACACAATTAATTTAAGCTAAGGAATAATACATATTATATACCAAGATGAAAACATACAAGTGTGTGTGTGCATGTGTGTGTATCTGTGTGTGTATCTACACAAGCTCATTAGTTCCATGTTGCAGTGAGCAAAAGTATGGTGTAATGGAGACATTACACAGACCTGGATTCAGATTTCATTTCTGCTGCTTAATGGCATAACCTTATGAAATTATTTTAACTCTTCTGAGCTTCTGTTTTCCCACTTATAAAATGAGAATAATAGTATTTATCAGGAATAATGTATGTGAAGTCCCTAGTTCAACATAAGGCACATAGTAGCAATCTATAATTACTTTCACATGTTAGAGGTGAAATCTAATTTGTTTAAATAGTGGTGAATATACATAAGGTAAAACTCACCACCTTAACCACATCTATGTGTGCAGTTAGGTGGCATTAAGCACATTTACATCATTGAGCTTTCATCTGCACCATGGATCCCAGAATTCTTCTCATCTTCCAAAACTGAAACTCTGTACCCATTAAACAGTAACTCCTCATTCCCCATCTCTGCTCCTCCTGGAAACCAGAATTCTACTTTCTACTGCAAGGTTTTCTGACTACGTTAAGTATCTCATGTAAGTGGACTCATAGTATTTTCCCTCTTGTGACTGGCTTATTTCAATCAGCATAATGTCCTCAAGGTTCATCCTTATGTTAGCATGTGTCGGGCTTTTCTTCCTTTACAATGCTGAGTGATATTCCATTGAATGTATATACCAGATTTGGGTTATCTATCTATGTGTCAGGAAACTGACAGAGAAGATAGATAGATTATATGTGGATGGATGAGGAGACTGAAGGAGAAAAGTATAAAGGAATCATGAAAAGACCACACAAGCAGAAACAGTAGCAGAATGAACTAAAGATACCAGAACAAAAATTTAAAGTTTTAGAATATATGTCTCAGACCTTCATCAGGAGGCCCTAGGATTGCACGGCCAGGTAAAGGAAGGGCAGATGAGGACATCTCCAAGTTGGTGACAGAATGTGTCAGAGAGTCTCATATTGTTCATGTCTGGGTTCAAACTTAGAACAAGAATTTCCATAATGAATCAATGGTGCGTGATAACAAACACTAGCTAATATTACTGTTTCATATGATTTAATATGTGTCATCACCCACTGTGACAGTGGCAGGATTGTTTCTAAACCATATTCAGTTAACTAGATGTAATCCTTTGTAGACATCATGGAAGAGGAGAACATATGTGTGTCAGTTTTAATGGAAAACTCCTGGGTGCCTGGGTGGCTCAGTTGGTTAAACATCTGACTTTGGCTCAGGTCATGATTCCAGAGTTCTGGATCAAGTCTTGCATTGCATTCCCTGATCAATAGGGAGTCTTCTCTTCCCTCTCCCTCTGCCCCTCCCCTAGCTTGTGTTTTCTCTCACTCACTCTCTTTCTCTCAAATAAATAAATAAATAAAATCTTTAAAAAAGAAGAAGAATGAGAAGGGGGAGGAGGAGGGGGAGGGGGAGGAGAAGAAGAGGAAGAGGAAAAATCCTAAGTCTTCTCAAGTGGTCCCTAAGCTCCCAAGAGTAGAAGAGCCTTTTGTCTAATTGAGAACCTTACTCTGAGCTGGGCCATGCACTGGGGATGACTTGAATGTACTCTCGAGTGAAACACAAGAACTGGGTTGGGAGATTTAAACATGTATACTGGGATTCAAGGGCCTGCCAATGCAGCTTTATAATGAGGTCTTAGCTTTCCCCGTATCTCCCATTCCCTGACTGGCCTCATCAGATCATCTTGCCCATGGTCAGTTGCTCTCTACCCACGCCGATACTCATGCTTCCTTCACCCTTCTCAAACTGATTTCTTTTACCTAAACTGAGTCTTTGGGCAACCTATTGCTCCTTTTTTCTAGTCACATCCCACCTCTCCCTTTTTATCATTATAAACCAACATATTATTTTTAAAGGTATAAGTCCGACACCGCCCTACACACACACCTATCTTTATCAGAAAACCTGAAAGAAGTTTTTGGGTTTTTTTTTTTTTAATTTTATTGTTTTTAGTGTTAAGTGGAAATTTTATATAGAAATAAGATTAGGAAGTAGCTCCTGTGAAAGGGAGTGAAAATCCTTCCCAGACCTGTGTTAAAAATAAAAAGATACGGGGCGCCTGGGTGGCTCAGTGGGTTAAAGCCTCTGCCTTCGGCTCAGGTCATGATCCCAGGGTCCTTGGATCAAGCCCCGAATCAGGCTCTCTGCTCGGCAGGAAGCCTGATTCCCCCTCTCTCTCTGCCTGCCTCTCTGCCTACTTGTGATCTCTGTTTGTCAAATAAATAAATAAAATCTTTAAAAAAAATAAAAATTAAAAATAAAAAGACAGAAAAGGAAAATGTGCATGAGTATATGTGCATGACTAAGCTCGCTTGCCCTCCTGAGTACCAATGATACCAGAAGGGCGTGTGTGCTGTAAAATGAGGCCTGCTTTTATGCCATTAATGGATTGATAGGATATACTTTGTCCTCTGTTCTATTTTGCTTAAAAACGTGCTGTTTATTCAAGCAAAGGAAAAATAGAATGAAACCTACAAAGAAAGACAGCCTCGGGAAATAAAGTCCTACTAAAATGATAGGGTTTGCGAAACACATGCAACCCCGAAGCTTCACTGACAGTCAAGTCTGGAAACTCCTTTGTGAAAACTGGAAAGAAAGTCTGATGAATTGAGGCACTAAAGAGGAGTAAGTTAGGTCTTGGTATACACAACCTCAAGGCAGAGAACCTCGTATAGACACATCTGGTGGGAATGTTTTCTGTTATCTCTCTGATCATCACCTGGTGATGTTACCATGGCCACAAATGGCCTGCCAGCTTCTTCCTCCCCAGTTTGCCTCTCATAGCTATCTTCAAGCCCGTGCAACAGAGCCCTGCCTTTATCAAGGACTAAGACACTTCTATCCCATTTCTGTCAGCTCCTGTACAGCGGCTGCTGCCAGGTTCAGGTTTAGGGTTGTACTTGCAGAGTCAGTGACTTCAGGACTGCTTGCTGATTCTGTAGTGCATACCAGATAATGTGCTAAGTGCTGTGGTGAGTAACATAAATAAACACTTCTAAAATAATAATAAATGTAAAAGAATAGAACTTAGTGACATTATACAAATTGAGCCACACTGATCACAACCAGAAGCAGAGGTAAATGTCCTTTCAGAGCATGCAGGTCAAAGAAAGTCTGAGGGGTTTTCCTTGCCACGGACTGGAGAACACAGAGCTAAAGAAAGAATAGGAGTGATCCAGATTGTGAAGGGAAAGGAGATGTGTACATGCTGGGATTTTAGGGTGAGGAGGTGGCATTTTCCCAGAAAAGAATAACACGCGTAGTACTGCACGGTTGAAGGAAGCACACCTTCTCTCTGGACATTGAAATAAAACCAGTATGGCCGAAGACCAGGGAGCAATCAAGGAAGTGACTAAGTAAGAATTTGAGGTGAGAAAGACGTGCAGCATGAAGGCCACTCCAAATTGTGTGGAAAATATTAAGGATTTTGATCTTTCCCCTGAGCAGGGTGGGAAACCTCTAAAACGTCAAGTAAAGTATTAGTATATTTGAAGTACCTGTGCATATGGGGTCACCATGAACCAGAGTGATGGACGATTGGGATGGTGTGCAACCCTCAAGAAGTTTGCAAAGTAGGTTAGAGATTAAACTAAGGTCCAGAAAAATGACAACTTTAAATAAGAAGGCTTGAGTTCAAATCCTATCCTCCCACTTATTATTACTTTTTTAAAATTGTTTTTATTTTAAAGACAGAGAGTGCAAGTGGGGGTGAGGAGGAGAGAGAGAGAAGGGAGAGGGACCGACTCCGTGCTGAATGTGGAGTCTGATTCAGGACTCCATCTTAGGACACTCAGATCACAACCTGAGCTGAAATCAAGAGTCGGTCAATTAACCGACTGAGCCATGCAGGTGCCCCTTAGCACTTTGACCTTGGGAGAACTCATACACATTTCTTAGTTTCAACTTACTCACTTACTCTTAATGAAGTTGTGAGTCACAAAGGAGGTTGTCTCTTTGATAGCAGTTTATGAACTCCAGTGCTGTAAAACTGTAGGTAACAATGACTGCTGTGAACACTGGAAAAATAGTTATGGCAATAATATTAAAAACACGTATTAGACAGTTTTTGCTGTGATAACAACTACCCCCCAAATCACAGAACTAACAATGACAAGTAGCAATTTCTTACTCACCTCGAAGGAGGAATACTGGCTGGCTGTAGCTCCCCAGCAGGCTGTGGGTCAGTGGGGTCTCTGCTTCTTTTGTCTTCTCAATCTGGAAGCCAGACTAAAGGAGCAGAGCCCAACTTGTATATGCGTTTCTCACAGGAAGGACCAAAGTGAAAGAACCTCTCAGAGTTGGCCTCTTAAGCAAGTCACGTGGCCAAGCCTCAAATCAATGGGACAAAAATGCATTATCCTCTTAGGGGTAAGAAATAAATGAATAGGGGCATCAGGGTTGCTCAATCATTAGGGGTCCACCTTTAGCTCAGGTTGTGATCCCAGGGTCCTGGGATGGAGCCCCACATCAGGCTCCCTGCTCAGTGGAAAGCCTGTTTTCCTTCACACTCTCTCCCTACTTGTGTTCCCTCTCTCCCTGTCTCTCTTTCTCTCTCTGTCAAATAAAGAAAATCTTAAAAAAAAAAAAAAAAAAGTAGTAAATGAGTAACTGGGAGTAATAGAAAAATTTTCCATAAATATTTGTGTGTATGTGTGTCCAAAGCTCTCTAAATCTAAGGGGAAAAAAAACAGTAGACATTGCATATTGCAGCCATCCTGGGAAGGGGAGATAGTGATGTGGCAAAGACAGATCATCTACATTGTCTTTTGTGGGACTTAGCACCAAAACCTTTTTTAAAATAAAATATATTTTAACTATTACATGCATTCTTAAACTTTTTTGTAAAGTAAATAATGGGGGGATTATTTAAATAAGTAATTTTATGCCCTACTGTAAAGCAGGGCAAAATGAAATAACTATCCCTTATTTATTGTTTTAGTAAGTTGAATGCAAATCCAAAAGACACATACAGTGTGCCTCGAAAAAAAATGTGAGGAAAACCAGGTAGAATGTCACCAGACCTGCCAACTGCTAGGAAACTTGGTGCCATCAGGGCTGCTGGTGTGGTTGCACCAGCTGTTCACTGAGCAAGGGCACCAATCAAGGGGAAAGTAGGAAACAAGATCGGATCTATCTTATGCTCACCAAGTCATCTTCCCTCATGCAAGGCCATATCTAGTCAGAGAAAAGGGCAATATTTGTCACCTGGCACAAATGTGTCATTTGCCCTAGAAGAGGCTTCAGAGGGTAATCATCACAATCCTGGGCCTAGCTCATCCTGTCACATCTAGTGATCTTTCCACAGTCAAAGGTTATCTGACCAATGGATTAAACCCCAGAACAATATAATTCAAGAAACTGTATAATCTATACTCCTTAGTGTCATAACATACAGTAAAAAATAAACCTACAAAAAGACGATCTACTCATGTTTTCTGCAGTTTTTCTTTTTTAATTAACAAGTGCATGGATGTCAAATTACAATCTGAAGATGATTGGAGAACCCAAATAAATAAAGTTAGTTATATGATTTTAATGTTAGTGGGAACAAGTATCTCTTTCCAGAAGTATGGTATTCCCTAAGTGGACAAATCCCCTCATGCTCTGCCCACTCTCTGGTAGATACTGCCAACCTATAACTCCCTCGAGTCCACCAATCCCACATGAGGGGCATACCCTCTCTTCAGGTAGATTAACATCTCAGAGCCTTTCCCTAAGTCATAAAGCAACTAAATGTTTAACTAGCAAACAAGGATCATTGCATTCTGAAGTTCTTGACACAATCCATCCCAGATGTAGGGTTTCTTCCCTGGGTCAACTGAGATGATTTCTAGTATCTGAGTTTTCCTGTAGGCTTTTACTTTTCACATTTGTAAGATTTCTCTCATATATGAGTACTCTGGTGTCTGTGGATCCCTAATATCTAGGAATTTTATACATTGAATATTTACAGCAGTGGTAAGCATGGGATATTTCTAATGACATCCTGTGCTTTACAATTACAAAATCTCTACATCCGAGAGATTTCTGTTTCTTAGTATCTCTCACATAGCTATTTCAAAGGAAATTCTCATATACCAGAGCTTCTTTGTACCTTTGTTTCCCTTGGAAAATTCTGTGTACATATTCTTCCCTCAAGATTGAGATTCATTTGAGATTTTTTTTGGTTTGCTATATTTTTTTTAAAGGTTCTGATTACTTGCTAACACTATGATGGACTTTTTCCTTAGAGAACTGTCTGAATGCCTACCACTCCCAGGGACTGTGCACTGGTAAATCTTGGTGTTTTAAGTCTTATAACTTTCCCTCAATGTCATATGGGATCTCGAAGTATACATGAAGTTTTCCTGTCCTTGATAGTATTTCAAGTCCTGGTGGTCTAGAGCTCTGAGATGGTCTTCATATATGGTCCTAATCACCTGAGAGTTCATGAGAGTTCTTCATCTTCTAGAGATGAAATCACCTTCTTATAGTGTCTCCCATAAATTTTTTAGTGCTTCTTATTAGAAGTATTTCACTTTCTCTGCACTTCTCCATTCCCCAAAAATGTGGTGTGCTAAAATCTGAGAATTCAAATGCCATTAAGATAGAGAACATCCTAAAATCAGAGAAAATCTAAGAGACAAGATGATTAAAGCAAAAGAAATCTTCTTAAATTATTCTTCTAAAACTATAGGGTCCAATACAGCAGCCAGTTTTAGGATTCCTTCTGTCTTTTTGTAGGAGACTTAATTCTTTAACATAACCTGCTTTAATACATGGATATTCTGTAGTCCTGATAATTAATATCTTCCTCTCTCTTTTCCTTGGGAAGATACCACTTAAGATATTGTGAATTACTGACACTTCTATATAATAGACTTCTTTGGAATAAATTTCCCTTCATGGATGAACAATTCAAAGAGGTAATAAGCTATTCCATTAAATAAAGTTAGTTATACATATATATGACACCTACTAAGCTTTAAAATAAGCAGTACACACACACACACACACACACACACACATACACATATATTTAAAATATTTTCTTTATTTGCCAGAGAGAGAAAGAGAACACACAGGCAGGGGGAGCTATAGGCAGAGGGAGAAGCAGTCTTCCCATTCTGCCGGGAGCCCCATGTGGGGCTTGATTCCAGGACCCTGGGATTATGACCTGGGCCAAAAGACAGACACTTAACCAACTGAGCCACCCAGGCATACCAGCAATAAATATATTTTTAAAGCAAGAGAGAACAAAGAAAGAAGAAAACAAAACTGGTGGACAAGAAAGGAAATGGAGAAGAAGCAAGTGAAATATACAACTGTATTCACAAAATATTTTTCCCCTTTCCTTAATTGCATGGTATCAAGCCACACCTTCCCCACCCCTCCTCCTGTTTTTCTTATAAGCTTACTTGTTATTAAAAGTAGCTTCTTAGAACCAACAAAATTGTGCTCAGTGGCCTACCTCTGGTACATGGCAAAAACCTAATTTAGTGCTATTGTATTTATTCCAAAAATCTCAAAGCAGGTTCAAATTTATGTAAAAGCTATTTGCTAGACCTATAGATAAAAAACATATTTGAGTACCACAGGTTAATTTTTTAAAATAAGTTGGCCCCTAGTGCTCATTTTTAATAATTTTCACTGTAAGAGCCATAAAACTAGCAAATTTGGAATAATCCCACTCAATAAAAGAAAGTTGAACTTAGTATCCCATTGGTATCATCTGAACAACAACAGTTTTTAAATTCATAAATAAATTCCCAAACCACATGTGACTGGGTACAGTCACTCATTACAAGAGATCCAATTAACCTTTCAAAACTTAGGGGCCACACGACTTTACCAGGATGTATTATAAAAGGGTATTGCAAAAATTTCACTGATTCTTCCTATAGTCCTTTAAAACTCAGGAGCAAGTTGATTTTCCAGACATTCATGCAAATGTATATTCCATCTTTGCAATGAAATCCTGATCCTTTCCCCTGGTATGAATCACCACAAACCACCTTGACAGAGACACGAAATGCCCATCTTTGGGTACTGCAGGAGGGCAGCTAATGACAACTGGAGGTCAAGGTCCTCAAAAGCAGCTGTAATCACTTTTAGCAAACCCAAAACATCTCTGAGTTGGACTTTTAGGAAGAAGGAGCTCCTTTCGGGAGAAGACTATTCCAAAGATTGTTACGTGTAAAACTGTTTGAAGGTACAATTTGGTCTGACTAACCACAGTACCGGGTCTGCTGGAGTGTAACCTACCACACTTGGTGACATTTAAATCAAATACAAGAACAACTTATTAAATCTCCCACTTCCCTTAGCAACTTAGGCAAATAGGAATTTTTTAAAATATGAATTCACACAGCAAATGTTATTATACCAGGATTAAAAGAAAAAACATGACAAGAGCTCAATGTACAGAGCCCATGGTCTGACCCCTGTCTAACTCTGTGGTTCCAGCCCACCCCCCCCCACAACACACAATTCCTACCAGCCATGCAGAACCTGGCTTGCTCACAGCCTCGGCAACACTCCAGAATTTTCTTTTGTCCTGAAATTCCTATGAACTGACTTCTCCACTTTAAATCTCTACCCACCCCCCTCACTCTCCAAACATATTCCCATATTTCTTTCTTTGGCTAATTTCTCTTTTTCCCTCCAAAATATACAATAGGCTCCCAAATGGCCAAGAATAGATGTGGCATTAAAACAACACCTTTTTAGCCTCTTTGATGGCACACTCATATCCTGCTTTATATCACAGGATTTGGCTTTGCACATTTTATTTGGGTAAATTAACCAATAAATGGGCCTGCTTGCTGGCAAAGACATCCATTAAACTCCCAAGACCCCTTCTAGGACATTTCATTTCATACTAAATATTCCACTCTGAGTACGATATTGACATTCTAGTACTCAAAATTATTGCACTTTTACCATCTGGATTATGTTTCATTTCCAAATAAGTCTCTAATTTCATGGCTTGTGGCATATTTGATTTGTTGCTTAAGCAAACAGTAATCAAAGCCCTCATTTCCCTATCTCATGAAATTGGTAAAATGATATTAATCAAAATACTTAGAGAAACTAAACAAAAAACCACGTGTAAAAAATCCTCATACATTTGTTTTCAATAAGTAGACAAACGTAAGAAAGTGTTGATAAACGACCAGTAATGTAAAAGATAAAATATGAGTCATTTTTACCCCAGCTTTCCCCTAACAATGATTAATCAAATTGCAATTTCAATGATAGTGTTGCCCTTTTATGTTAGATTCCCTAACAGCAATCATCATCATAATTTTTCCCCCATTAAAAAGATAGTCCCCTAGTTTAAAAGCCCTACTTGGGAGCAGAACCTAGAAAACTGTGCGACAAGTGGTGTATCTTAAAGGTAAGAAAGGCGAGTATCGCTTGGGTCCTACCCAGAGAGAAAGACACCGCTCGTTTCTTTTAAAACTTGTAACTTACTGAAACGGTGAGCTTGGTTTCATGACGTTGAACCCTTTAATGAACTTTCTTCACCTTTCAAGTTCTTACACCTCTGAGCGTGTTCTAACTCCTGAACACTATTCCTCTGTTCTGGGATCATGTGTTGCCCATCCTAAAACACAAGATAACAAAGTTGGAAAAGAAAGAAAGAGCCTTTCCTCCCGGTCAGAACTCAGGCTTATCTCAGCAGCCTCCTATTTTTAACCAGATTGCAAATGGTATCTGTGATCAAAGGCCTGGAGCCCTGAAGGAACTGGAGCAAACAGCACGCAACAGAATGCTTCCGGATGATCTATAAGCAGGAAAGGACTTTTGACATGAAAGACAGCTACAACAGCCCAAGAATAGCAATAAAACAGCTGTAAAATGCATAACGTTGCCCTTGAACGAATGCAAATTGTTCCAAATAATTTTTCCTTTTTTCTGCAGCCCTCTGGATGCCCCGCTGGGGCATTTAAACAGCCACATGCTCCGTGTACAAAAGCTTCTCTAAGTGGGAAAATACAGTGTACTAATGGGCTTAGAATGAGGGAACCGAACACATCCACAGCTCGGGGTTGATGGCTCCTTTGCTTTTTGTTGGAGAATGAGTTCATTAATGGCAGACTTGTTGTGGATACTAACTAAGCTTCCAGTCAGTCATGTTGAAGGGTAATTTATTGGCTTAGCAAGACTCAATTAACTGTTGAAGTGATTGTTAATTTAAAAGGTAAACGGGCTGTTGAGACTTCACATGGGATTGCTCATGCAACTGGGATGTATACTTACCTAAAGATGAAGAAGTACAGCCCTCACTTTTAAAAAATTATTTTCTATTAGACAAATATATATTATAGAAATGCTATGAATACTATGATGTTTATGTATATTTTCCACTCTAAGTCATGAGAATAATATTGTTATGTATTTCATATTTGCACAGTTAAAAACACTCTCATATATATGGTTTCATTTAATTCACAGAAAAAGCTCTCCAATATATTAATATTCTCCCACATACTCTTTTGAATAAATTTGAATTAAACAAAACGTTTTCTCTCAATAAGGATACCTGTCTTAATCAATTATCTTAATTTTATATTTAAACTAAAAATAGTAGAATAAAAATAAATCTCTTACTACTTCATTATTTTCAAAATCTTAGTAGCAAATATATTGAGTAGTTTAGAAAACAATATGTTTACAATTAAAAGATACGTTTTATGTCACAAGTGAAAAATATAAAAATAATTTGGCAATTTACTAATAAAAATTAAGTCAGAAAGATTTATTTAAAAATCAAATAATCAAAAAAGTATTTAGTTATTTAGATACATATATGCTTTATCTGATAAGTAAATATTTTGCTTTGATATTAATTTTAAATAAAATATTTATGACTCAAAAAATACAAATCATATTCAGGTTATAACTAATCAATAGGGTATGAAACCAAACTTACCTACAAAGAATATTTTCCAACAGTAAATTATTTCCTTATGTATTAAGTCTATATTTCCACATTTGTCTAAAAATAAGATAATTAATACAGTTTTGCCTTGTTCTCCCTAGAATAAACATTCCAGCAAAACCATCTATATATATTGTATAATCAAAGAGGCAAGATATCGCTCTGCCTACATATCAAAAATCACTTTTGAACTTAATGTTTGAAAGTTAACAAAGCACAGAAAAGAGAATTTTTCTGCGGTCATACCCAGTATAAAAACATTTGTGTTTAGAAGCATCCCATTGGAGACTTCTCATAGGGTCAATTATTACATATTCGTTTCTAAGCGCTCTTCTATAAAAATAGCCAAGTCATCAAAACTAATTCCTTTTCAAATCATAGAAAAATTGTGCTTTTCAAAATCAGTACTTATTTGTGTAATGTCTTACAAATCTATAACACTGATTGTAAGAGTACAGTATGTATTAAAAATCTAATTCCTTCCCCCCAGAGATTTATTTCATATTATACTCTGTTTTTACTTTTATAATAATAAATATGGACACAATGAGTACACAAAGCCTTACTGTGTTTCATCAGGGAACCAGCTAGAAGACTAACACAATTGCCCTGATTTTAAACCATGTTTTACTTAAAACTAATTTTTCATCAGTGTTAGAGGTTAATAACACTGTTATTTCCTCTATTACTTGGATTTAATAAAAGCAGTGGGGCATAACATTCTGTAAAGCCAGGCAATAAGAGGAAATAACACAAATGTTAACCTCTAACATAAACGTAATGGTAATTACTCCAGTCTAGTTTTAATATTAATGTCTTTGGTAGTCTCCCAAGTGGCCACAAAAAAAAAAATAAATAAATAAAAAAGGAAAAAAAGAAAAAACCTCTCTCCTCAGTCTTCCAGAAACTACCAAGATCCAAGGTCAAGAGCAAATTATGCCTTCAGTTTACATGCTTAAAACATTTTGTGCACCATATCACCCTTTAATATAGAGGCACATTATATTAGAAATAAAACACTGCAATAAAGTAGTAAAACTGTAATTATAAATTAGCTAAACTGAAATTACATGTTGCAAATTTAACAACAAAAAAAAAAATATTGCAATAGAAAAGCTGACCCACCTTCTTTTATGTCAAATGTAAAATTGAGGTACACAATAAGCTAAATAAACCTCCAAATTAAATACTTAAAAAAGAGAAGCATGCAAAACAGTTTTATCTATATCTTTTAAAGAGGCACTTGTGAAATTTCCATTGCTTGGTTTGTTTCTATTCTTTGTAAAAATCCATGGTGGCTGTTTTTTTATACATACTTTAGTTATTGTTTCTATTTGATAAGCATCCTTTTTTAATGTTGGCAGGTGAAATTAACTTCAGTTTTATTACTTGTCAACTTTGTCTTCCCCGGTACCAAGAAATGTCAGCAGCCTCCTTGGAAACTCCTTGTCAGCAAGTTTAAGATTAATTTCTATTAATTATCGCAGATCCTGGAGCCCCTGCAGTGTGTTTCACTGAGAATCAAATTGCAGATTTGATTTTTGCAATTCCTCTAGGCCCCTCAGCATTTTGTAGGTTCACCAAAGTAAAAACGTTCCAAGCTTTCATCCTTCAAACACCACCACTCATTACAAGTTTCAACTACTATTTCCTGTCATCTTTTCACATTCAGTTTACAAAAGCAAAAATGTGCCTCCTGATTGTTGGTGACCTGAGTTTGTCAGAATCCTTTCTTCATAATAAATTCCTGTGTACATGGATCTTATCATTCATTTCTTGTATTCTTCAAAGCATGGGTTCCCAAAAATACTTACTGATTGATATTCATGCATAGTAGAATTAGAAAGGAAATTCTTTGTTCAATCTGACATAGCCCAGCCCTACCATATAGTTCTCATCACATACCAGGAATCTAATTCCTGATGGCCCCTTGTTAAATAGATTGTGAATATCAAAGCCTAAACACTGAATTTATCTGGTCCTCTGACAATTGGCAGGTGAGGTAGGAACAACAGCAATAAGTAGTTCTTTAAAAGAAAATTCCAATTAGCACAACAAATATAATTATGATGACAGCGTCATCTAAAAAGTACGTATCAGCTTTGCTTTGAAGAGTTTGCAGTTTTTATCACTCCATAAAACACTGGGAAGGGAGTACTTCAAATGGGCCCAAAGGAAGTTTCAGAAAGGGAAATTTAATATTTGACGTATGAGAAGAATCATCGGTGGCCCAGAGCCTTGAACTAGGTCACTTCAACAGACAGTAAACCTTCTTCAGGTGTGTTCCCGTTGTTGTGTACACTGGCTTCAGTGTTGAGTGGAGCCCTCCATGATCCTGAAAACTGCCAAAAACTCCTAGTTACCCGTAAGGATAAGCCCTGGTACACTCTGTCCACACCAAGATCTTCTAAGACCTTTGATCCATGCTGCAACAGGTAGAATAAGATTTGAGGTCAATACTTTGGGGGGTGCAGGGAGCAACAAGAGAAGCACAAATGGATAGTGGCTAAGGGAAGTGAAAATGATTGTTCAAAAAGAATGGGCTGCATTGCCATCCATCCCCTTACCAGTTGCATTACCAGCTATTTAATCTCTCAAAGTTTCCCCACCCATAAAATTAGGATTAAAACAGTATCTAGCTCATAAAGTCAATAAAATAATTTCTGCAAAGCAATGATCAGGACCCAGTAATCACACTCGTGCCTTACTCCTGCTCATGCTCACTAAAAACTACCAAGGAAAAATATCACAATATAAAATGCACACACAAATGTGCACATTAATCTTTTACTATCCAAACCAATAATTCAAGATAAGTTACTTGATTTGGGAAGATTCTGAAGAGCACGTGCTGATATCAGAAAAGTATGAAAGAAAGTCTTCAGAGACCAAAGCCATTCCTCCCCTCACAAAGCAAATGCTAATTTTCCTAATGAACTATCAATAACTAGATGCGTGAAGAAAAAGTAACAACTTATAGGTTCCTCATAATTTTTTCTAGATGGAAAAAAAGTCAAGCTTTTTATATCTATTATAAAATATTCCACTCTGTATGTATACTTGACATTATAATGATACCATCAAAATAAAACAAAGACAATCAATACATGGTCTGTACAGCTGAAGAGTATAGATTCTCATGGAAGAAAAAGCACCTGCATAAAGAATTGGAATGTTAACTGATGAATGCTATAACAAAGACGTTTTGAAACTTCTAGAGTACAGAGTCCAAGGTATGAAGAGAAATTCATAGTTGAGTGGAATATTCCCTGGATCCAGAAAGATGATTTGGGCCAGAAGAAAAAAAAATACTTTCTTTTTTTTTTTTAATTCCCTGAATGAGAATTTGTATGTAGACTTTTGTATGCGGGTTCAAAAATTCTAGCAAATATTTGGCTGACAGCGCCATGACAATAATTACCCATATGATAGGGAAATACTGGCCTGTATAGGAAAAGGAAAGATTAACGCTTTGCTGCCTCCATACAGTTTAAAAACAGATTAGAGAAGGGATAGTTTATATTCAGCTTTGTATCTTTGGGAACCTAAAACAAAAACTTAGACCACTTAAAGAGCTGCTCTCTTGGTGAGAAACTAGAATTCCCCCAGTCTTATGGCATGTCCTCTAAAATCCAGGAGTTAATCCTCGCCAGTCAGAACTACCTCTGGCCTTTGGAGAACAAACATTATTTTAGGACGACTTTCCTTCTCTGAGATCAAGATATCCCAAACACAATTCATGGTTTGTT